TAAAAGATCTTAATTTCTTCTAAAAATCATGAAATAATTGTGAGGTTCTTTCCCAATTTTTAATTGATCTATAAAAATAGTTTGCGCAATTAGGGTATGATTTATAGAAGAGGGGACCTGGAAAATCACAGTGAGGTTGTAAAGCCCATGAAGTGGATAGACTCCTCCTGAGGAGTTTATGAACCTTGAAAAAAGCTGAGAGGCCCTGGTTGCCTGTTATAAAAATCCAATTTATTCATTTGTTCTCTTACTTCCCACCCTCACCCCAGGGCTGTAAGTCCACACCACAGCGTCCGTGTCTGCTTCTTAGCTCTTCCTACCAGGTTGCTGTGATGGTCCACATTAAGCAAGGGCCATGATCCTCAACACTACAGGTGGGCATATGAGAGGCAGCCTTCTTGAAGCCAGGCTCTGGATGCCATGGCTCTTCATGCGGTTGTCTCCAAGGAACAGCTGATTCTACAGCTCTGATTTCTCAGCTCTTATTTATCATCTTTCAGACCACTTCCTAGGTTAGGTTAGAGATAAGAGCTTCCCAGGATATGAGACGGTAATCTGATTCGAATTATTTCTCCCTTTGTGTATGATTGGAAAAATTATGCTTAAAAGAACATGAATAATTTCTTCAATTAATTCAAGTAGTTGTTATTGAATATCAGTTTTTAGCAAAAATAAAAATCTGGCATAAAAACAAGGTGTATTTTCTTTGGCTCCACCCTGCACTAGAGGATATCGTGTGGTTTTAGAAGAAAATCTTCTTTTTTTTTTTGTTTTTCGAGACAGGGTTTCTCTGTGTAGCTTTGCGCCTTTCCTGGAACTCGCTTTGTAGACCAGGCTGGCCTCGAACTCACAGAGATCCGCCTGCCTCTGCCTCCCAAGTGCTGGGATTAAAGGCGTGTGCCACCACCGCCCGGCAGATAATAGAAGAAAATCTTAAATGAGCTGTGTCTGCTTCTCCCATCAGGACCTACACAGTCTAGAGGATAAATAATGATGATTAGTCTGCTTCCTTAAATCTTACAGGTCACTAGAAGAGGAACTAGAGATGTTTAGGTTTTGTTTTTGTCTCTTCTCAATTTTTCAAAGATTTTGCCTTCTCCACCATGAAAGTAAGCTCATGTTTGTGCATACTTTGTATGGTGTTTTCATGCAGTTATGTATGAGAATGTGATACAGTTTCTGGTACTAGTAATCTAATAGACAGAGACAAGATGGCTGCATCTTCCCCCCACCTAAGCCCTCATCTATTAGAAATAGGACAAAGATGTCCATTCATATGCCCATTCTAGCTTAGAGACAGAATTCTTACCACAGCTCGAGGAACCTGCACTTGGGTTGCACTTCAAGGCTGAGGCTGTAGCAGGGAGGTACTTCCTAACCTTTACCCATGGGCAGCATTCTACTCTGAGTCACTGTGTCCAGAAGGAGCTTTGCATCTTGGAACCTTCTTACCATTTCTAGAAAACTGTCAGTACAGAGTAGCCAGGCCTTAACTGAGGTTAAGGAGTCATTTAAAAAAAAAAAGGAGAGAATCAAATCAGAAGGGAAAGCAAACTTAGCATTGTAATACCATGTCCACTTGGGCGAGATAAAGGCAATTAGATGAAAGTGATGGACATTTGCATTAAGCTCGGGATATCCTTGCTGCTCCTTTGCTGTTCAGCCACAGAGATGGAAAGTGAAGAGGAAGGGCAGCCCCTCCTCCTTAGTCCCCAGGGAGGCTCACACTGGAGTGCTCCTTCCAGCTAGAACACCCGAAGCCTTGCATTCTCACTCACTCTGTGTACTACTTTGTAATCAGTCTTCTCTGACTGCAAACTCAGTATATGATGCAGAATGCTTGTGATCAAACTTCCACATTATTTGCCTCCAGTCAGAAGGACCTGTTCATTGTCATTCTAAGCCAATGTGGTCTCCATCCCCTGGTGACAGCTGCCACCCAGTGATTGATGCATTAAACTGACGGCCTTGTAAATCTCTTCCTGTGAGAGTGGAAGTGAGAAGTGCTTGGCCATAGAAACATTTCTGCAGCATGATGGTGTCTTTCCAAGGGGAACTAGACTTGTGTGCTTTACCTAGATTGCAGAAGGAACCTAATGGAGAAGGGATGATGCAAATTGGCTTAGAACCCCTGCATGTGAGAGTGGAACCTATGACTACCGCAACTTCGGCTCAGCATTCTTCAAGAAAGCCTGATGCCGGTCCAGTGCTGTTGGTTTTCTTCCTTCCACCAGTGGTTTCTCTCTATCTGCTTGTTGGGAAAGAGGCTATGAACCAAAAGAAGCAAGGGCATTGACTGCAGCTTTACCGTGTCCTCTTCACTTCCGTTATTCTCCTTAAAAAGGTGGGGAGCAAAGAAATGTAGTCACATGTGGAAGTCGCTTAGCACAAGGCTGCAGTAAAGAAACAGCTCAGTGTGAATACGCCCTGTCTTTTACCTTTGTGGGCATCATGAACCCACCCACCCCCATGTTAATTTCATCTCTTTTCTCTTCTTTGGACAAATGCATTGTCATTATTACTGGCAGCAGATTTGGCCCTCTACCTCAGCCTGGTCTACCAGCCCAATAATGCACAGGCCAGCATGAGTATTTGCCTCAAGGTGACACTTGTAATAGCTGACTGCTGCACTTCTTAATCCATTTATGCAGTCCCTCCTCCTTTGCTTGCAGTGGTTGGCAGGGCTTTAGCGGCAATAAAAGTGGTCCCTTTCCCAAGACAGTTCATTCAATTTAAAGCTGGATTGATTATAGCTAAACTTATGACATGTCTTTACAAAGGAAGAAAAAACAGCAATAAATTATGTACAGTGATTATTTGGCATTTATTGAGTCCCCACAGTGTCCTGGGCTCAGCATATAACAGCTAGGAATAAACCGCTGCCCTTGAGAATCAAAGCACAGCTGTCTATCTGAAAAGGTATTCAGGGCAGCCCATCAATCCAGGTGCCATTTAACTCCCATACAAGGGTCACCTGACCATATGGCCACTCAGTCTCACTCAGTGAAGTCTTGTGATTGTGTGGAGTTAATGGACTCTTGGCCCATATCTATGTGTTCTCTTAATTTTCCTTCTCTCAGAACCGTTTTACTATCATCATTGGCTTTTGGTCTATGCCCCAGAGATCACTCCTTCCTGCTTCTCAAACAGCTTTGTGTTAAGACGAAGGCTTTTGCAGAAGCTAGAGTGCTGGTGAGGATGGCATTGCCCGGCCAGCCCCTGTGATGTTTCTCTGCCTGGCTGGTGCACAGGGTAAGGTGCTAAGGGCGTGTGCAGGATTTTCTTCTGCTATTGTACAGTCGTTACAGGGTGTGCGTCAATCAGAGAATTCAGATGTAGATTTTGAGAACACCTTTTAAAATGTAAGTCATGCAGCAATCATGCAAGTAAATATTTATAGTTGTCTTGGTTTCTGTTCTGGTGCTGTAGAAAATACCTAAACACCATGCGATGGGGGAAAGAAGGCTTTGCTTTGGCTCAGAGGTTGACATTATAGTCCATCACTGTGGGGAGCCCCAGCAGGAGGAGCTTGAGGGGGCAGCTGCTCACACTGCACTAGTAGATAAGAGTCAAGAAGCAACAACTCCAATGCTCACATCACATTTTCATTTGATGCATTCAGGATCCCTGCTCAAGGAGAGTTTCCACCCACATTTAAGACGAATCTTACCTTATCAATTAACCTCACAAGAGTGCCTGGAAACCTGACTGCCAACCATCACAACAACTTAGATTTGAGTTTAGTGTAACATTCTTAATTCATAGAAATCCCCATTCAGCATATTCAATAAAGAGAGAAGTAGAGAGGAGAAAACCTGGCATTTTCTCTCCTTATTTTAACCATCGACTTTTAAAGGGGGAAAAATACAGGTGGAGAGAATCACGTGAATAGAGAATATTAACTAGCATTCATCATACAACAGGTCCACTCTGTTCAACCTTCTAAAGAGCTAAATGCTTTAGAGGAGGAAGCAGGGGCTCCAAGCTGTTAAACAACTTCCCACTGAAAGGAGACATAAGATAAAAATCACATTCTCACTAAAGAGCAAGACACTACTGCCACCTAGGACTCGATGCATACACATGCACCCTGTCTGCCCCACCTAGGGTTCGATGCACACACATGCACCCTGTTTGCCCCACCTAGGACTCAATGCACACACATGTACCCTGTTCGTCCCCCCTAGGACTCGATGCACACACATGCACCGTTTGCCCCACCTAGGACTCGATGCACACACATGCACCCTGTCTGCCCCCCTAGGACTCGATGCACACACATGTACCCTGTCTGCCCCACCTAGGGTTCAATGCACACACATGCACCCTGTTTGCCTTACCATACCATTCTCACTAGTACTTTGACTGGCTTTGGAATTAAAATAAAAAATTAAACCTTTTTCTTTGTATTGTTTCTATGTAAACACCAGCATCAGAAATCATTAGACAATGTTAGAGCAAATCTCCTAATGTTCCCCCATATAATTCAGATTATATCTAAGTAACGGCTGGGATTTGGGGTGTGTTTGTTTCTTAAGAGAAAGATAAAAGCAATTATTTTAAATTGCCAAATGTTTCATTTTCTTACCTCGAGCCATTTTGTTGTTTATTTCTTTTTTTCTTTTTGCATCATTTTTTAAGGTACCAAGGCAAGGCCTTGTGGCACATGTCTGTAATCCTAGCACACAGGAGGTGAGTGAGTCAGGAGTTGTCATTTTCAGCTAGATAGCAAATTCAGGGCAAGCCTGGGCTACATGAAACCTGTCTCAAAAAAGTTACACATGCACAGGTTATATGAAATTGAGCCAAGATTAAAATTTCAGGTAATGATTTTGTTATTTTGAAGGTCATATAGGATCAAAAGAGAAACTGGATTTTTCCACTCACAGTAAGATCCCAAGGACAAATTTAGCACCTGCGTTAGGTTTATCTCAGATCAGAATCTTTGCTCATGCTTCTGTCTGCTCATGTGCTCACTGCCTGTGTGTCTTTGCCCACAGTGGACCTGGACAGGCTCAACGATGACGTCAAGCGTTACAGTTGCACTCCCAGGAATCACTCAGTCAATCTGAGGGAGGAGTTAAAGCTGACCAATGCGGTCTTCTTCCCCAGATGCCTGCTTGTGCAGCGTTGTGGGGGCAACTGCGGTTGTGGAACTGTCAACTGGAAGTCCTGCACCTGCAGCTCGGGGAAGACGGTGAAAAAGTATCACGAGGTATGTCCTCTCTCTCCAATGTCATGCCAGGGCTGTGCACAGCTATTCTATCCACATCCTCCTGCATCTGTGAGGTCATGGGAGATGATGGCGTCACTTAACATGGGTGCTCAAGGGACCGAAGGGATAGCTTAACGATAAAGACCACCGCTGGCCTTACAAAGGTGCATCTAGGTCTAACACTGGTTCCAGAGGATCCAGCGCCCTCTTTTGGCCCCCCCAGGCACTGCACATGCATGATGCACATACATACATGCAGATAAAATGCTCATACATGTAAAATGAAAAAAATGAAATCTGTAGAAAGAAATATGGTTGGTCAGTTGTTCATCCAGTCACAGGTGTGATTGGGAGCTAAAATTCTGTTTAAGTTAAGTGCCTTGGCTCAAGGGTTAATTCCATTCTGAAGAAGGGATTCCTAGTTTCAACCTTCCCAGTACACCATGTGGGTAGACAACTTAGATTATATAACTTCATGTATTGATAGAGACTTTTCAGAGCCTCTTTAGTCAACTTGTAAAGAAATTTGGTGTTTATTTATAGGCTATAACTGATAAGTCTAGGTGACTACAAGAAAATACTAAGGGCCAAATTTTCATTCAGTGGAATCATACTTGTAAAAGAAAAGCAAAGAGTAAAAAATGTAAATTGTCAGAGACCTTTTCATTCTCTAAATGTTGAAGCAGTTTTCATTTGTTTTCCTGGAAATGCTTATTTTTCCTAAATGGAATCCACTGCTACCTGGAGATTTAGCTCTTGGATTGTTAGTAAATATAAAGATCAAGATCAGAGGATACAAATTAAAAGAGAGCAATGTTTGTAACAGTGAGAACGCATTAGCTCACTGAGCAGCTTGCCAGTCATGCTGTAGGGAGGCTCTTTCTGTTGTATTCAGATGTAGCGGTCCAAGGCTGACAGAGTGGAAGGAGATGGGGCATCCCTGCAAATTCATTTAAAAATCCGAACATGTGAAGCAGATGTTACCATTGGGCAGCTTCGGGTGCTAAGGAGGTGTTTTAAGGGCAGTAGTACTTGGTGGCTGTGGTAGTTTAAATGTATTTGGCCCCCACAGCTCAAAGGGAGTGGCACTATTAGGAGGTGTGTCTCTGCTGGAGCAGGAATGGCCTTGTTGGAGGGAGTGGGTCACTTTGGAGGCAGGCTTTGAGGTCTCATACATGCTCAAGTATTTTAGCCCATTTCCTGTTGCCTGCACGTCAAGATGTAGCCAATACCACGTCTGCCTTCACACCGCCATACTCCCAGCTGCCATGTTTCCTACAATGATGATAATGGACTGAACCTCTGAAAATGTAAGCCACCTCAATTTAATGTGTTCCTTTATAAGAGTTGCCGTGGTCATGGTGTCTTTTCACAGCAATAAGAACCCTAACTAAGACAGTGGCTAATCATGAGAACCTGAGTCCAAAACCCAACAGAGCAAAGGAATACATAGACAGTCTCTCAAAACAAGACTTGCAGATTTGGAATTGCAGGTTTAGGAGCTGGGCATAGTGGGTTAAGTTTGTAATGTCAGCATTTGGGAAGCTGAGGCAGGAGAATTCCTGCAAATTAGAGGTCAGTCTAGGCTATATAATGAGTTCCAGACCGCGATCAAAACAAACAAACAAAAGATAAAACACTAGCTTTCAGGCAGGTACTTCTGTGGTGGTGGTGGTTGTTGTTGTTATGGTGATTTTCTGTCCTGAAAGCAATGAAACACTAAATTTTAGGTAACTTCTGGAGGGGGAAAAACTGAGCGCAGTGGCTAAGCTCAACTTAGAGAAGCGGAACTTACCATTTACACCCACACAAAGAGTATTTTCTTAGTCTTAAGAATAGTTGGCTCCACACCCACTGCTTTCAAAGGAAAAATAAAAGCCGTTTTCATATCAACAGAGTGCTATCGCCCCTGTTCATTATGTTTTATTTGTGTCTGAACTGATGAACCCTAGATTGGAGATTGTCCTTCAGTCTCAGAATGTCAGTTTTGTGATGTTTACCAAAAAGGATAAATGTAGGGTTCAGTAATCGGTGGTAGCTAAAATAATCTAGGAACTGGCAAGATCTACCGTGCAGTGGCTGTGAGCAACCATGCACAGGCCTGGCTTTGATGCGTTTGTGGACTGCTTTCCTTTTTCCTTTTATCCTGACTCTGGGGGAGCGGTTTCAGCCCTGACTCCCCCCACCCCATTCCTTACTCTGGAAACTCCCAGAGTGAATGTGGCATCACAGACGTCGGGTCTGTGTAATCTGAAGCATCCAGGTACTGTTCTTTCAGTACTTTCTCTATTGTCTCTGTTCAGCGTAACAGCCAGCCTCGAGCTGGTTCACACAATTAATAGAGAAAGAGGAAAGCCTTGCTCCCTTTGTTTGGTTGTGAGGTATAAAACGCCGGCGTTCTTTTGAGCATGCAGTGGATAGCCTCTCATTCAAACACGTGCCATAATATCTTTACAGCTAGGCCTCCGCAGAGTCCTGTATGAAATGACCCTGCCAAGCGCAGGACAAAAGCCCCAACAGCATCAGTCACTCAGTGACTGCACACCTGAAACAAACATGCCTGTCGCCTTCCCCTCCAACTGCTGAAATTCCCTGAAATGTGTCCTGACGGTCACTGTCAGGTGCTCTGTGGGAATGGCAGAGAGCCTCTTCTGGTTCTAGAAGAAACAGGCATAGTTGTTCAAACTATGTTCATTCATCTCATTAGGAGGAAGTGTAAGCCTTTTATTCTATTAGTTCTGTGCCTGTATTCTTACCTCTGCTACATTAAAGGCGGTTTCCCCAGTCCATGCTTGCAGCTGATGAGATGTGAAATGAGTTTCTATGAGAGATGATGGCCTTGAGGGATTAAGAACTTGTCACATATCGAGCCTGTATGCTTCTCCACAAGTATTTCAGTGCTCAACAGTCAGAGATAAGAATGTGACCAATTAGAAAGCTCTGGGTGAAGCCAACATTGTCACTGTTTGCACGGGCCACAGTCCAACATTGTCACTGTTTGCACGGGCCACAGTCCAACATTGTCACTGTTTGCACGGGCCACAGTCCAACATTGTCACTGTTTGCACGGGCCACAGTCCAACATTGTCACTGTTTGCACGGGCCACAGTACTTCTTTTGTAGTGGCATGAGCAGTCTTCAGTGCCAGACAGTGTTACTTCTGCTTTCAGACTTCAGGATCCTTAGATGATAGTGTTTGCTGCATAATCCTGAGGACCTGAGTTCAAATCCTTGGCACCCACCTAAAACCTGGGTATGATGGCACATGCCTGTAACCCCATCACTATGGCAGGTGGAGATGAGGGATCACTGGGCTTGCTCGACGCCAGGTCAGTTCCATGTTCAGTGAGAGACCCCTGCTCAAGATAATAGACAAGGAGTGGCAAGCAGGATACCAGAGGTCCTCCTCTGGTATCTACATATAGATGTCCACAGGCATACAAGACACACACACACACACACACACACACACACACACACACACACACAAATAAACATTTTTTGTTTTGTAGGTTTTCTGATTTCTCTTCTTTCATAGCATTCCTCCTATTCATCTTTGAGTATAAAATTGGAAAAATGTCATTTCCTCTACTCCTTCTAAGTTTGTGACTGAGGCCACCCTAATAAGAGAGATAGTAACAGAGATGCATATAGATGTAATACATTTCATATGACACAGGAGCCATTATAAGGAAATGAAGACCCTAACAGGTCAGCCTGCGTGGAGTTCTGTGTAGCAGGTTTGATGGAGGCCGTTAGGTGGTGGTGGAGTGTAAGTCAATGCTGATGAGCAAAGCCCTCTGGCCGCTCTGTTCAGTCTTCTCCTCTGTCCCTTTGTCTGAAAGATGACAGTGCTTTTTTCATCACAATAAAAAGGGTCCACGGCTCACAAGAGGGCCTCTTCTTTCATCAGGATACAGGGCTCACATGAGATCTTCTCATCCTGCTTCATGGGGTTTATGACCTATTTCACACGGGACAGTTCAGAGTGGCTGTAGAATGACTTCTGTTCTCCCCAAATAAAACTGGGTAGTGACTCTTTAAAAAGCAAAGCCTAGTTCATCCAGCATCTGATGGGAACAGATGCAGACCACAACCAAACATTAGGCAGAGCTCAGGGAATCCTGTTGAAGAGAGAGAGAAGGGATTGTAGGAGCCAGAGGTGTCAAGGACACCACAAGAAAACCCACAGAACCAACTGATGTGGGCTCATAAGGGCTCACAGAAACTGAACCGACAGCCAGGGAGCCTGCATGAGACTGACCTAGTCCCTCTGCACATATGTTACAGTTCTGTAGCTTGGTCCTCTTGTGGGACTCCTAATAGTGGGAGCAGGAACTGCCTCTGACTCTTTTACTGGCTTTTGGGACTCTACTCCTCATACTGGGTCACCTTGCCCAGCCTTAATACAGGGGAGATGCTTACTGCATCTTGATATGCCATGTTTCGTTGATTTCCATCAGAGACTTGTCCTTACCAAACAACCATGGAGGAGGAGGGAGGTAGGAGGTGGGGACAGAGGGAGGGCAGGACTGTGAAGAAAGAAGGGAGGCTGTAAAAGAAAGAAATAAAAGCAAGGCTCAGAGCTGAGGCTGTAGCTCAGTGGCAGAGTCCTTACCTGGCATACATCAGGTCCTCGGTTCAATCCCAGTCCTGTCAATAAATAACAATAATAATTCAATGATATTATTTCAAATCTCCCCTTCATAATGAACTGTGACTACATGCCATCGTTTATTCTCTAGGCTACAGCCAAAAACTTAGGAGACAGTGACAAATTTATTAATTTTATTTGCTTATTTTCTCTGTCCTTCCCCTACTGATACTGTCATGATGCTGTGAATTAATCAGGGTTCTCTAGAGTAACAAGAGTGATAGAAGTGGTGTGTGTGTGTGTGTGTGTGTGTGTGTGTGTGTGTGTGTGTGTGTGTGTGTGATAGAGAGAGACAGTGACAGAGCCAAGAGACAGAGAAATAGAGAGTGAGAATTTATTGAATTAG